ACCCCTCCCCCCCAAAAAAAAACAATGCCCTTCTTCCCTCCAAGTCCAGAACCATTTTGGTTATGATTAAAGATAATACAGGCATTCCTCAAATCTGAAATAGTTACTTGTAAAGGGGAATGATAAAGATGATGGCTAGTAGGTTAACAGGAAACTTGTGATTGAAATGTGTGTGTGGTGATGACATTGAATTGGAATACGAGAGACTTTATTTTCAGTTCTGGAAGCCCCTGATTTCTGTTTGTCCTTGGGTTGAATGGCTTCGCCTTTGTGCACCTTGTTTCTTTTTTGTCAGTTTAATCTCAACTGAAACAAAAGCCTTAAACTCTTTGGTGTGTTGGTGGTTCAAGAACTCGTAAAGACGTTAACACAGTGGGGTCTCAGTCCAGAGTTGGGAAGTTCTATGATAAAACAAAGAATAAACGGCAGAACAATAAATGATTGAAAATGCCATTATTAGATAATCTGAAGTTTACCTTCGTGACTAGATTTAAATGATGAATTTTGCATTATTTGAGTTTCATGAAAAATCCAAAACCATTTCGATTCTTAAGTTCTCTTATTTTTCAGGTTGCTGCTAACACTCCCAGTATGTATTCTCAGGAATTGTTTCAGCTTTCGCAGTATCTACAGGTAGGTTTTCTCTTGACAGTGTTTAGTTTGGCTAAGTATTTAAACTTTGTTCAAAACACAAATCTTATGCTCTGAATGTCTGTCTTTGGCTTGCATTTTGTTAACCGGAACACAATAAGCATTTAACTACCTTTTCTGTAGTGAAATAATGTAAAACATTGTAATTGGACATAGTATAGTTCTATGTAAACTTCTGGGATTTTGCATGAGCACAATAAACTCTGACTCTGTTATAAAAGCAACATGAAAGCTCCCTGTTCTATAGAAGGCTCTCTGAATGCTATATACCTGCTTTTCCTGGCCTTTCTCCTCTCCTACCTTGCTGTCCCCAATTTTCTTTTGCTCACAATATTTTTGTTATCATCCATTGCTGTGGATGTACTGTGTATGTGTATAAAAGTTTTGGTAGAACAAAAGAAAGGCAAAACGAGGTCATTTCATGTGTCAAGAACTAGTTTGTTTCTGTGAATATAATTTCTTAGTGTGAATATTTCTGTCCCTGTATCTGCTGGTAAGTATAAAGGAGGGGATAGTGCTGACAGCTCTTCTTCCTCATTGGCATCACCAGCCTTTCTGTGCCTGCTCCTGTGTCAGTTTTAATAGGTGTGTTTTTTTTACAAAGATGTCATGTCACAAAAGGGTTAGACTACAAAATGGCAACACATTAAAGTCTGTGCTAATATATATAAATAAACTCTTTAGAAAGGATCATAAAATCAGCTTTCTGGAAAAGATATGAAAACTTTCTTACTGGTAAATTCTATCTAGGTTTAATTTATGTATAGTTCTACTGATTTATTTTGCCTGTTTTTGTTTGGTAATTGCAATTTTTATTTTTTCACATCAATGATAAGGTTTTTGAGACAGATACTAATTTTATATATATTTGCTGACATAGCAGGAAGCAGCTCAGGCAGATGCTCTTTCCTGGGAGGCCAAATATATACTTGCTCACCAATCTGTTCAGTCTCTGTATCCTGGAATTGTTAACGAAGATGCTCTTCTATCTTACTGTCATAAAACAAAAATAGTAGTTCTCGCTTGGCACTTTTCTTTTGTGACCTGATTTGAGGATGAACAGCTCATTGCATGGGAGCTGCCAAGCTGCCTTTTGGTGTTTACAGTTTTGTTACTCAAATTATTGACAAAAGTCAGTGTTTTTAAGTTTTGGAAAGAATAACTTGCATGTGCTGAGTACACGTCGTAACAACATACGCATGAAAAATGAAGGTTTTCAGGAACCTGAGGTTATAGGATAACATTTTCTAATTAGGATATCCGAATAAATGTGTGGATGGATAAAATGGGATGGGCTTACTATAGTTTTGAAAATGTGACAATGTTTGCTACTCACACTTCCTTTTTTTCTTGTATTTTGGTATGTCTTCGGTTGCTTCTGTTCTTCCGAGTTGTTCTAGCTAAACTGACTGGTGCTGTGCTTTCTTCATAGGAAGCCTTACATCGGGAACAAATGTTGGAACAGAAGCTGGCAACCCTTCAGCGACTACTTGCTGTCACGCAAGAGGCTTCAGATACTAGTTGGCAGGTATCTGCAGGCATCCTTTTCCTTTATGGACTGAAATATGCAGTGGCATATAAATTTTAGCTATTAATTTACAAACAGTGGGGAAAACAGAGGCAGAAAAAATAAAAAGCTTATGGCAGTTCTCTTAAACTGTGCAAAAGATAATGTTTGGTATATAATCACTAAATTTATTAGCTTGAAATAACTATTAGTAGTAAGTACTCCAACAAAATTGAAGTCTTTAAAGCAGAAATCTACTGGAACTACGTAACGCACATGTTAATACTAAGGTGATACTTCTTTTCTGCTAGGCTTTAATAGATGAAGACAGGCTGCTATCAAGATTAGAGGTTATGGGAAATCAATTACAGGCATGTTCAAAGGTAAGTAGTTCACTTGAAGCTGAATGCTAGGAATGCTGAAAGATAGCTCTTTTGAAGTGTTTTGAAATTAGCTGGTTGTAGGAAAGCAGGTGGAACATAAATTTTCCAAAATCAACCTGTGCAATTTTGATAATCTGAATAGCATGAAAACTGTAGATCTGTTCTGTATTTCATGGAATCACTTTAAATCTAGATGAACGGCTATTTTTCAGCATTTTTTTAGCCCGAACTGGTTTCTTTTGTGTATGCATATAGACATGTACATAGTGAAATACAGAAAAGGTATTTCTGTCGTTGGTGAGAAGCAACCATTCCATCTTGTTTCCTATGGATGTTTCTTTCCAAATAGGCATTTGAGAAAAGGCATTATAAATGCATTGTCTGATATTCAGAGACAGAGTAACAAGTATGGCCCGCCTTGATTGTTGTTTTGGCCACCTATGCCTGCCTTAAATTTTTGTTGTCTTTTAATTTCTCTCAACTACCTACATTATAGGAACTTTTTTTGCAGGTCCTGTTTGAGGTGTTTCAGATGGGACCTCGTAGGTTTCTGGTTTGTCAACTTGTAGGTCTCTTAGGCTTTGACGTTGTCTTAGCAGTGCCCAGAAAAACCACATAGTTTTCCTATAATCAAAGCTGATCATTGAATGTGTGCTGCCATACATACACTTCAAAAAGAACTGGTTTACACCCAGTCATGTCAAGAAACTTTGATCACTGATTTGTCCATAACATTTTGCCATCTACCAGAAATTGCTAAACACTTTGGAATAGAACAGGTCTTATCACAATCTAATATATTTAATCAGCAAAATACTAATTTATATTCTATCTTTGTATCTGAATTATACGTATAGAATCAAACAGAAGACAGTATACGAAAAGAGCTTATAGCATTACAAGAAGACAAACACAACTATGAGACAACAGCCAAAGAGTCCTTGAGGCGGGTCCTTCAGGAGAAAATTGAAGTGGTCAGAAAACTGTCTGAAGTGGAGGTATTGAAGTTTCATGCCTAGTCTTCTGGAAATGCTGAAATAATTATAACTGCTGCTACTTAGATCCCTGTTTTGTTGCCTGTAATATGCCAGTATTTGTTGTATTGTGGCACTTGCAGTATATTAGGTAGTAGTGTTTATTTCTCCTATTGGACAATACTTCGATTGTTAAACAGTTAATGAGAAACTATTCTTTAAACTCCTCCTTCTTTTTCTGCCAGATTTCAAAATTCATGAAGCTGTCTTACAGAAGTTAGTATGTGTGGGAAATAAGTGAGGGGAAAAGGACATACATGCATTAGAAAAAATGCTGTTAGACCTTGTTTAAGCTGTAAAATTTATGGAAATGTAAGCTTAACCACTCATACAAATTACACTTAAGAATGAGCTTTTAAGATTACAAAGTGTTGGACATTTTCTTCAAATAAGATTTCTGCCCTTATAATATTTCTCATTACTATCTTTTCCTTTATTTTCTCTTTCTATTATCATTATTTGCTATGTTCCCTTAGGTCAAGAAATATCTTAAGACTTAAAAGCACTTAAAAGTGCAAGTGTCTACCCTCTTCATGCTTTTTAGAGAACGTGATGCATATAGTGCTGTAATAAAAAACCTTACGAGATTTCAGTTAAATACATTTTTTTATATTGTAATAGTTCTTGACAGTTTTGTTAATGGTTGGAGTTTTATGTTTACTTGTAGCTTTCTTCTCCTTTCCAATCCTATATTAAGAGAAGAATCTTTTCATTTATTATACTTTTTCCTCTTTACTTTGACTCTTGGGGGAGAAATATTAATTTAACTTTAGTAAGAAATTTGCTTAAGTGCTTCCTGCCACACACTTTTCTCTCCACACAGAAGAATTATTGGGTCCTGGTTGAAAATTGTCCTTTAATAATTAGTATATAATGTAGTTTTGAATGCACTTTTGTTCAAAGGTGTTTTGGTATGTTTTGGTGGTTAAGAACTAAGTCAGAGCTTGTTACAAAAAAAAAAAAATTGTATGAATGAAGAAGCAAATCTTGAGCTATGAGGAGGAAACTCTATACACCATTTACTTGTGCTGCTATCACCAGCTGATGCAAACTTCTCAAGCATTCCTTGCCTCCTGAAGACCCAGCTGCCTCTTGAGTAAGGGGATCTTAGTTTAGATGCCTTTCCACATTATGGAGTTCAGAAAAAGATTTAGAACGCTTCCTGGGAGCCATTTGGCTTATATCATATGTTTAAATCTTCTTTTGCTGGGTGAGAGGTATGATGAAATCTATTGATTACATTGAATCACAAAATATTATAAAACTTTCACAGTTTATCACAAACCAGAAGAGAATGGGGGAGATGGATCACGTTTCAGTTCTTTATTCCTATCAATCACAAATAATTGTATAAATTGTATAATTGTGGGTTTTTTGGTTTGGTTTTTTTTTTTTTAACATGCATGAAGCTAATATATTTTCACATAATCTGTTCTTTAAGTAGAACATTACAAAGGCTTGTATAGCTAGCATTTTTGCCAGGACTTGATCTGTTTGTTTAGCCCTAATGATTAGGAACAAAGCAGTTAAATATGATTAGTTACATATACTGTTTGGAAAAAATAGATCAACTTCAGTGTTTGGTAGATTATTAGTCTCTTTTTTTTTTTTAATTTATTGCATCATAATTCTGTCTTACAGAGGAGTTTAAGTAATACAGAAGATGAATGTACTCACCTGAAAGAAATGAATGAGCGGACTCAGGAAGAATTAAGAGAGTTAGCTAATAAGTACAATGGAGCTGTAAATGAAATTAAAGATCTTTCTGACAAGCTAAAGGTACTGACAGAACTTCATCTGACTTAGATGATACTATAATGCATGGAGCAAATAAATACAATTTAATTTCTAATGCAGCAATCAAATAAAGGTTAAGAAACTTTTTAAACAACAGGTAAATGAAAGAAAGATGCACATCATCTTTTACATGTTCTTTTGGTTTACATTTAATGTATCTGAAAGCATCATCAGTTAAGTAAATTGCTAAAAAGGTTCCCTTTTCATTCACTTTGAAAGTTACCAGATTTTCAGAGCTGCAATATATTTTAATAGAAAATTACATATGGTATAAAACTTTATATTTAGCTGCTTTTATATAGACAAATAACGTTCAACCTAAACATCTTACAGTTAATGGGAATGAAAACTAGAATTAAAAATAAATTTGCATTTCATGTTGCCTCTTTGTGCAGTTACAAACATAACTAGCCTACCATATAGTAATAATATGACTCAGCTTCCAGGAGGAAGGAGCATGCTATCAGGTTTGTTATTAAACTAAATGTCTAAGTCTATTAATATTTAAAGGTCCTTTATGCTGGAGAACAAAATAATCACAGTATGGTAAAGCCTGTTCCCAAGAGTCTCCAATCTAGATAAGTAGAAGACGTGGAGGAGGAAGGTAGTAGTGTTCTCTTTGTAGACCTGAGACAGTTGTTGCATTTGTCTTGGGCAAATACTGGAATTTGAACTTAGGTTCTTTGAATCCTAGTTCAGCACCTCAGACGGAAGATTTTTCTTTCCAAATTAAAATGTTAAATTGCTGGTCTTAAGGCAATCGGTTTCCCAATTATGAGTTAATCACTGATGATGCTGAGTATACACAGAAGGATCAAAATAGAAACTTATTACCTAGCTTTGAGGGAGGAGAGTCTTTAAAACTTATTATAAAGAAATCCAGCAAGGAAAAAGATGTGGCTTTCAATCAAGTTGGTGTGTCCAATGTACATTCAGTTCATAAGGACTCCTGGGTTTTGATTGATTCGAGATGCTAGGAGACTTTGGGTGTTTCTTAGCTCTTGGGCCCTAGTACTGTTCCTGTAAAATTTACGTTCCTCAGACAAAAAGTTAGTTAAGGTATTTTGAGGTTCTTTCTCTCTGTTATTGTGCTTGAAGTGAAATTTATAGAAAAATAAGAGTAGAAAAATTTTGCATTGTTTCCATTTTCTTTACCTGACTAGCAAAGTAAGTTACTTATGTATGTTCAGTTATAAAAAAATCAAGGAAATCTATTCCTTTACATGTTAATTTTGATTTGTTTGGGGATTTTTTAAATCTTTTTTTGAGCAGGTAGCAGAAGGAAGACAAGAAGAAATCCAACAGAAAGGACTAGCTGAGAAAAAAGAATTGCAGCATAAAATAGATGAAATGGAAGAGAGAGAGCAAGAGCTTCAAGCAAAAATAGAAGCTTTACAGGCTGATAATGACTTCACCAATGAGCGGCTAACTGCTTTACAAGGTTAGTCACTAGTGGGGAAGAAACTTTGATTACTTGTTTTTCTTTTAATCTGTGAAATATCTTTTTCTTGGACTTCTGTTTACAGTACGGTTAGAACATCTTCAAGAGAAAACTCTTAAAGAACACAACAGCTTAGGTAGGTGTGATCAGTTTCTTGTTTCAAGCTGGTTTCCAGATTTTCTGTTCAAATACTTCTATAATAATAATCTTGTCATCTAGGGGTCTGGCAAAAGAATAATGTTTTGCAGTTATCCCAGTAGTGCATTCTTCTTGGTTATCACTTGCTAACGTTGAAAGACGTGGCCATAACGGAATGCCAGTAGAGGGCACTGCTGTTGTAAGTGTTCAGACTTCTGGGTCACTGCTCAATTTAGAGCTCTGTTTGTGCCCCCTCAGCTCCAAGATTTTGAAGGTTTTTATATACATATATACGTATATACAAAAGGATTTTTTAACTATAGATGCGTGTGTGTGATAGGCAGTAATTCTTGGGATGATAGTAACCTCTTATACATCTGAACAAACAAGAACATGATCTGTAGTGCTGGAAAACACATTAAATTTTGCCTGTTTTGTTTGATTAGATTAGATACTTAGAAGGAGGAGGTAGTATGAAAAGCCAGATACATTTCACAACGCTGTATTTATAAAGAAACAAAACCCAAAACATTTTGCTTGGTTCCAGAAATAATACCCTTTCTTAATCCTAGGCATACAAGTTGACGACTTCATACCTAAAATTAATGGGAGCACAGAGAAAGGTAGTGTATCTTAAGGCTACCTTTTGTCTTATGGTTGATGTTTGAAGTTGAACAAATTCAAAATGTTCTCTAAAGTTTTACTTTGAATAATATTCCCTTTAAAAACGAAATTGAATTTGTCCACTCTTCTGACCAGCACTTTTTTGCTTAGACTTTCAGTTGAGGTGTTTTTAGAAAGTTCCATAAAATGTAATGAGCCAATGTTTGGTTCGTCTTTTTTTTTTTTTTTTTTTTTTTTTTTGCTTGTCTTTGGGCTCTTACTGGAATCAGTAGGAGTCTACTGATTGATGTCAGGTTTGTGACACAGGAATGTGGGAAAACTCATTGACTTTTTTCCTCTTAATTTTATTTTCCCTTGCAACACAGATACATACCATTTTTCTAGTAAATTGGGTATGGTAAGTAAAGTCAGCAAAACGTACTTTTTTCCTTACTATAATGTATGAAAAATGTGAGTCTATGAAATACATAAATAGTGAAAACTAACTTCTTAAAACTCAGGAGTGTATTTATGTAAAACAGGAGTGAATACAGATTGAACTAACTGATAGGGGTTTTTAAAGACCAATTAGTTAAAGCTAAGTATTTTAATTAATGTGTCTTACCATACACTTGAAGTTTTTTGAATAAAATTGTCTGATAAGAACATGCCCAATATCACATATAGCGAAGATCATTCCAGTTATGACTCTAAATTCACTCAATTGTTCCATTGGCTAAGATATATTTGTCCTCTTATGTTCATTTTAAATTTTTCCTTGATGTAGCTTTCTTCAGCATTTGCTGTGTCTTGCTGGATAGCAAAAGCTCTGAGGAATGGTGGTAGTATTAGTTGGAAGGATGGGGCACTTACATAGAGAACTTGTGGTTTTAACTAATATTCACAGTGTTTTTAAGGATTACTGTGTACGTTTTTGAAACAAAATTTTGAAACTTTCTATGCTCTAATTCTTAGCTTTTTACCTTTTTTGTTTTGTATTATAAATTAAGAGCTTCTTAACTAAGGAGGCTAATAGCAAAATAAGAGGCATAACCTCATGTCTATTTCTTATTTGGAGCAGGAGGAAAGATCTGTTAAACACTTACAAGAACTGTACAAAAACCTCCCCTTAATCTAAGTACTAGTTATCCCCTAATGTCTTAACATTTTAGGCACTTAGCTGTGATGCATGCTGAGAGTAGCAAGCAGACTTAATGTCTGTTCCCACTTTTCTGGACTGCCATACTTTGTTTTTAGATAGATTGATCCATTTTGCTGATGCATAATTTTAGGTTGGTAATGCTCTTAATGCTTGATAGAATGGTTAAGAAATAAATTTGCTTTTAAGTTTGGGGTTTTTTTAAATCTTTCACCCCAGAAAATAGTTAACTTCTTTACAAAGCAAAACTGAGGTACTATATAGGGACTGTGATTCTTCATTTTAATCATATAAACTGTAAAAAGACTTTGGAAGTTAGGTTGGAGGTTATTTGAAAACATGCAATACTGTGAACAAAAGTAGCCTAGAGCTGAATTGAATCATTTAGTAAAAGCTTTCAAGCTTTGAGTGCAAAAACATATTGTTTTTTAGAGAAATAATTGATAACATCACACTAAATATGATTTTTTTTAACAAACACGTTTTTTGTTTGTTTTAAAATTGTTGGTAGGGATGTCTTGTTAGTTTTTTATATACTGCTACCTCTTATCAGTCTGAGTTTAAAAATTATCTGAAACATTATTTCAAAATTGAATTTTTTATGTGATTCTAACAACATTGTATCACTGATACTTTTTTGTCAAAGTTGAAGCAATCTGTTTTTGACTTATTTGGATTGCATAAGAGTCAAGATGTCATGTGGATGGATGCATGAAAATACAGATTCCTCCATCCTATGAGTAACAGTAGAACTTACGCTTAAACCTGGGAGTTTTAGGAAGCTGTCTGCCAATTTCTTTTTCTTTATGAATATAGACAACATATAACTGCTCATTCAAGTTGTCTTTCTGTGTGTTTATACAGTCTATCACCTTTTTCTGTCATGTATCTACCATACTATTTTATTATTCTATATTTTAGCATAGTTTTCCACTATTCTCTCTGTTGTACCACATTCTTCTGCATCTCTGCTATACCTCGTCCATCCACATTTCTCTGGCATTTTACAGCTTGCTGGCCTGTGTTCTCTTCATGACAGTCTGTGCCTTTCTGTATCTTCCTGTCCTTTATCTAGCCCTTGTATAGTGGCAGATGGGCAGTAATTTTCTCTGCCAGATTTTGGATTTTGTTCTCTTGAAAGCAGCAGGAGGCAGTTACCATTTTGTTTTTTGCCGAGTAGTCTTGCATTATTTTAGAAGAGCTAAAAATTTAGGGTTTATAATGTAGATTCAGCAACTTTGGCAGTGAAAGAGGTTGTGGATATTTTGCATAAGGAAAAGCCCTCACAGTTGAAAGCAGAAGTCAGAAAATTTTTTTGTGCTAAATAGCCTGTAAGGGAATAAAAAAAAGTTTCCTCTATTTGTATACAAAGGTATACGTACCTTACCTTCCACCCTGTCAGAGGAAAGTGGTAAGACCATGTAAAATCAGTATGCTTTTTAAGATTCCTTTTGTCTCTCTATCTCTCAAAACTTCAGGTCAAGTCCTCAAGGTATGTTTGTAGGCATACTACCTAGCCACTGCAAGAATAAGGATTTTACATTACTTTTTTCTGTGGATGTCCTTAACATTAAAAGAGCTGTACTCTGAGTAGAGGAACTAAGAACTCATGTTATAGTCTCTCTAAGAGGCTTTTTATAACAAAGTGTATTAAGATGATGATGGTTAGGCATTCATTTTCTCTCATTGCACATATAGAAATTCTGGTGCAGAAGAGAGTAACTTGCTTATACATCAAGCCATTGATAAAGGTTGTGTACAACTGAGTTATTTCAGTAAGTGGTATGTTTCTCAGTGAGTTGCACCATACCTGGCTTTCATATTTAAGTTTTGTGAGCCATATATTATATAAAGAAAGAGATAAGAAATCAGTATACAGACACTTAGAGGATCATGTAAAAAGGCTAAAAAAAATGTTTAAACATGGAAAATAAATGTTATAGCCATGGTGCTGTCTTTTAAAAGCCCTGTCGTTGTGGGTTAGAAAAAAGTTTACTTTTTTTAGAGTAACTTTGAAATATAGTAAAGCTTAGTATTACATACTGGATCTTAACAGCTAAGCTTCTGACATCAGAACCTAATGATTGAACAATTTTGTTAGAATGTAACACATTTTGTGGTTTATGTGCTAAAAAGCAGCCTCTTCAGATTTTTAGATTCTTGAGGTCAAAGGATTTTTGAGGCTATTTAGAAAGGAAGTGTTAGCACCTTTTTACTTGAAGAGATGCAAGAATCTGATAGAGTTGGGACCTGAACAAGGTCATACAGAAGGACTTGGGTAAACCTGGGAACTGAGCCCAGTTTTAGGATCTCTACTGGTGAACTGTCCTTTCAGAAATTGTTTCTGTGCAGTGAAACTTAGCTCAAAAAGTAAAGGGAGATATTCAGCAAGACTTTTAAAATGAATGTTTTTCATTTCAAGAGGGTATTAGATATGAAGAATAAACATGAAGACTAAAGAAAAACTTACTAAATGCCCTTTTAAAGCTAATAAAAAAATGCTGAAGAATATAGGTTAAATACATGTTTCTTATTTCTTCAATGCTTGGATTTGGTATTTGCCATTATCCATGTCTGATTATAAATTAACAAATGGGAGGAACTATAGAGGCATCAGTGCTATGGAGTTGCATGTTTCAGTAGTGTATCCTCTTATGTATTGTAAATTTATTGTGGTTTAAACATCACTTATGTGCATTAATCTTTTTGCCAAAAATATGAAGTTGTCCATGGAAATTTAGTGGAAGTCATTTGTCACCACCTAACCTGAAAGAGCAATACAGCAAATGCCAGATGCATAATGTTTGGACTTTCAATAATTGGTTCTTACTAAATGTTGTTAAAGTTGGTTTTTTTTTTTTAAATAGCTTCTATTGAGGCAAGGGGCTCTTTATTATGCTTAAGAACTGCTGTTAGAATTTAAAAGTACCCTTTGAAAATGCAGTTAAAGTACTTCTTCTGATCAGCTCAAAAGAGTATTCTATTTTCTGATATCACTCAGACATCATTTCAGTTACGTCTTGTCTGCTTGCATATTAACTCAGATTGCAAAAGTTCACTGTAAATACACAATTACAGATATTGTTAATATACCTTTCAAATTTTTTTGTTGCATCAATTTGAAAGTGATAAGAAGATGTAAACTTAAGTGTTTCTTTCTTTACTAGAGCACTTTCTTTCAAAGAGTGGAGGGGACTGCACTTTTATTCATCAGTTCATAGAATGTCAGAGTGAGTACAAGAGTGTTCATCACATTTGCCTTAAAAACAACAGAAAACCCAGAAAAGGTGGATAAAAAACAGAATTCGTCACTACTATTTAATATTTCTGTAGTAGCAGAAATTTTCTAAGCATCGAATTGTGGCATTGTGATATTAAGCAGATGCCTGTAGTAGTAAGAGGATATCTTTGCTCTTGCAAAGCGATGATCACGTTGTCTCTTCTTAGCAGTTAATCCATTATTGTCCTCCGACCAATACAAGGGTGGTAATGTTGCCACATGAAGTTTAAAACTGAGTGTAATTTTTCACCTGTTACAAATTAAGAAGTTGAAAGCCTAACACTGTCAGTTTAAGCAAACATCACAAGCAGCAGTAGGACAGAGATAAGGTGATGATGCCTTTTCTTCATTTCACATATCTATAATTTATCTGATAATTGAAGGTCTTACACATTCTTCAAATTAGTTGTTGCAAAGAACAAAAAGGAAAACAATACCTTAATTTTTATGTGGAAATCTAAGAGATTCTTTTAAGGAAAATAGAACATAAATATGCAATACCAGTCTTTCTAAAGATGTGTTATTCTGGAATGAGAAACATGTTTTTCAAAGCAAATGACTTTTGAAAATGAGTAATAAAACAGTCTGCATATCTATAATTAAAGAAAAACTTAAGATGTTAATACATCTTGTCCACTGAAAGAAAAATATCATTAGGATGAAGAGAGAAAAGTGCTATTAAACTTCAAAGAAAACTCATTTGTAACATAAAGAATTACTTTTTGACTTAAGAGTTTACAGAAATTATGTACCTAAAGTTGAGCAAAGAGAAGTATTTATAAGCAGAAGTAAGTCGGTATCTTTTTTGACATTATGCCCATTGGACTCTTTTTCCTTTTTAAGTTTTAATAAGGAAATGTAAGAGACTTGTTTGACTTTACTCCTTGTGATATGGATTGCAGTGCTATAAATTGAATGACAGGATACTGCTAATGTTTGTCTAAAAATTTAAACTATTTATTTGAACGATGTTTATTTTTCGAAGTGAATGGCTGGTAGCTGTCTTCTATCAGGCTGAAGTTTAACATAATTTTAAATTTTGCAAAGATTTTGTATGAATTCTCTTTATTCAGTACATAAAAATGAACTGAAGTTAAAAGTTTCAGTAAAAGTATTTTTTGTCTAGAGTGAAAATGAAGAGCACACTGAGCGATGTTCAAATACAAATTGGTTGTCTGTTTTCATTATTTGGATGTTAGCTTAACCCATTTTAGCAAAACTTGTATTAGTGTCACCTCTGCAAGCTAAATGTGACCAGTCCTGTCACTATTGAGAAGCAAAAGCGACCACCAAGATCTAGTAAAAGATTCTAACATGCAACAGAAGTAGTAATAAGAGAGTAAAATTAAGATCAATTTACTTATGCCTCCCCTTTCTTGAGAGATGGAAAGCTAGATTAAAGACACTGTAAGGCCTCAATTGCCTCATTTTTAAGAGAATGAATAAGAGTTCAAAGGGTTCAGTATTCTGCATTTTTTGTGACAGTATAAGTTTTTACTATCTCATCAAGAACAAAAAAGATTCCAAGACAGCAGCTCATGTATTTATTTCTGGACTGAAAGTTTGCCTTTCCCAAATTCAAATACGTTTAGTCAGGCCCCACAAAATCATGAGGTTAAAAACCTACGAACTGCAGGATCTATTATTTTCATTTTGTATGTAAGTGCTACCCTTCAGTCCTACTCCTGCTCTTTGCTCTCTGCAGCAGTGAGGGTTGGGAAGTAGTGGGGAGAAAAATTATAGTTTCAGAGATCGCCAGGAACTGGTGTTTTAAGACATGTAGCAAATACCTAAGTGTAGAACAATATCATAAAGATTGGCAGTATTGAGAAAGAATGTATAGTTCATCATATGACACTATGCATTTTTTGCCCAGAGGTTTAGGTATTGGGAAAGGAACAGGTTTATTATTTAAAAAAATAATAATACAGTAAAAATCCCAGAAATAGGAGTCACTCATTGAAGTTATGTAGGGTTTGCTGTTTTGTAATAGAAGCAGAGGAATTAAAACTATAGGATCTGCAAACCGTAAGAGAAATCTAAAAAGAAGGGAGAATTGGGATAACCCTGAAGTTTGTATAGAAGAGAAGGTTCTGACTTGCGCTGGTACAGCGGGGAAAGTGCACATCTCCATAGTTCTGGGGAAGAAGCACTTAAACTGGGAAAGCACAAGCAGAGAAATGAGGAAAAACAGCTTGAGTCAAGGAAGTGGACTATGTAAAATAGCACAAGAAGGAAAATTAGATGATTAAACAATCTGGTATTCTATACAAACAGTTGCTACAAAGGTATAAGGCAATTGAAAGTGCTTATCGGTTAAGAGCAATCAAGACCTCTCAAGGTACTAAAGCTAGAATTTTTTTGGTGGGGGAGAAAACAGGACACAAATCTTATTCAAGCTGCGTTGCAACTGCTTAACTTGGGTAGCATTGTTTGTAAAATCCGGCTTCTGTAGGTTTTTAAAGATATTATTCATTTATTTTTATTTTTAAGCAGAATACAGCTCATGATATCATCCAGTAACCTGTCCTGATCTACAACATCTGTAGAAAGTTATGAAATCTTGCTCTGAATGATCTGGGAAGTCTGTTACTTTCTGATCATTACATCCAGTTCACTTGTTGCTCATTCCATAACTTTTTTTTTTTTGGTAACAACTGGTGAAAACCAGTGACATCGACAGCAAAAGTCATGGTGCTTCTTTTTGATTAGTACATGATACAAGTTATTACCAAAAATGGTGATGATGTATAAGACGAAAGAGAGGTTTGGTGCCCTGCTAGCTTCCTATCTTTTGCTCCAATCTAACTCTTCTTTATTTGTGTCCTTATTTTTTCCTCATTTTGTGATTTTTTTTTTTGCATTTATGATTTTAAATGCAAGTCAATTTTTTTGCTTTTTTACTAAGTTTTTGTCCTTTAATTTATCTAAAATGGAATAGTTTTTGGATGGATTGAATGGCTATTTTCAACTTTTCCATGACTTTGACCTGCAGGTGGCAAGTAAAGTTAAAGCTGCTTTGTGTCACTTTTTTCAAATGGTTTGAAATTTGTGCGTTGAGGGCCACGTTTCCTTTCATTGGTCTTCAAAACTGGCCTCCTTCAAAGACTAATTTGATACAAAAACATAAATGTATTGGGGGCATGTTACTTCAGTAATCATTGTAATGTTAACAGATCTTAACTATTACATTACAAATAGTGGTAGGCAACCTAAATCTAAAAGGGAGTTTTTAAATTGAAAAGATAGGAAGTGCCTAAAAACCTAAAGGAAAGCTGCCTTTGAGCTGCATTCATCAGCAAAAAGAAACATAGCCTATCTTAAAGATGAACTGAAAGCTTAACTTCAAAGCGGATTGTTTCAGTAAAAATTATTATTATTTATGATATGTATCAGTAATTCTTTGCTTTCTGTTAAGCAGTGACTGGATAGCATGAAAGATAAAAATTATTTGCACCAGAAATTAAAGCTGGGATCCTTACTCTAATTTATATTTTGGTAGCTAAAAATGCACACCTTGATTCAGGGAAAATGTGGATTGATTAAAAAAAAAATCCAGTTTATGAAGTTTTCTGAAATAGTATTTTCAGATGCAGATATCTGAAAAAGGGAAGTTTTAAAGATATTGTTATGTCTGCTTTTACTTTGATTGTTGTCTGGATTCTGCCATTTTTAGTGACTAGGGTGGTAACAGTGCAGAATAAGATTTTATGTAGTTCATTTACATCAACATCCAGTTTTCTGTTTATTATCTAAATATACAGCGGCATGCTGAAATTTTTTCATTGGCTTTGAAATATACTAATGCTGCATTCTTAAAACACAGAGAATGCTTACTTGTTTTGTAAATTAGGAGATATGTCAGCCATCAGGTGAAAAATACTGTCTGTACCAGCTTTGGGTCACACTGGGCGAGGGGACTTGTGTTACTGCTGAAGTTCTTCGCTGAAGAAATAGTGTCAAGAAGAAAACTTTTGTACAAATGTTGAAATTCATAATGAACATTAGAAAACCGTAAGCCACCATGGAAAAGAAAAAAAAAAGTCTGTAGATTTTTTTTAGTCATAGGAATTGAGAATTCTTAAAAGTGTCAAGAGCTGCTGCAAAGATTTCAGTTTGGAAAAACATCTGGGTCAAGAAGACTAGTTTCTTTATTTTGTACTATAATTATTTTGGTTTTAACAGTTACTGAATTTTGAAAACTCCAAGATCCATCAATTCATAATGCTAAGTTTTCTTCTGTAAACTGATTATAGAAGCCTATTTTAAGCTAACAGTCCGGTATAGATGAGGTGTTACCCCTTCAGATGAAGCAGTTGATAGCTACTTTGAGTATATGGTTTTTGCATTCAGCTAATTTTTTCAGACTTAGTGCAGAATTCTTCAGCTGCTTTCTTGCTGCCTTTCTCCCCACCACTCTTCCAGCCTCAGTCAAGTCCTGGAATAATCACATATGAAGACTTTTGTTTAGTGGGGTGGGTTTTTTTGGTTGGTTTGTGGTTTTGGGGGTTTTTTTTGGTTTTTTTAATGGAAGAGGGCTCATGATACCACTCAGTAACTCCTCACTTGTGGCTGCAGTAACTTGATTCCCTCTGAGGTGCCTTCCTCAGTCTAGGTACAGCAACTCTCTCCAGCTCTGACGAACTCGAGACTGTTCTGAACTTGGATGATGAGTGATCTACTACAGTTGCTTGAGACCTGAAGCCAATCCTGAAAATCCAGTTTGCTGTTCAGTGTATTTCTGAAGCACTATTTGTAAAATGTTATAGGAATGCAGGACAATATTTGTAGATAAAAGTAGATGGAGGGAATATCTCTTTGAGACTGGTTTGTCTGGCTGTGGGGCAGGAAAGGGGACAGGACAAGCTTTTGGCCATGCAAACGCTTCTTCAGACCTCAGGGGTTTTTTCTCTGAAAGCTTGTCTACTATCTGGGATTGAAAAAGATACCTCCATGCAAATGTCCTGCCTCTGTCCTTAGATTGTCATGGTTACAGCAACATGCCATAGGAGGAGTACAGAGACTTCTTAATCTTCAGAGCTACTTGAAGCTGGAAATGCTGACTAAAGCTTGCTATTTTTTTTTTTAATTAAAAATTTGAAAAGAATTTACTGTCATCCAGCTTCCTTAATCTGAACTCTCCTGTGTGCGCTGTTTGTCCAGTCTTCTCTGCGTCTCAGTTCCCTGTTAACAGCACGTGGGGTAACCAGCAAACTGGGTTCCCTGCCTGATGGTCCAGGATCTGGCAGGAAGAGCGCAGAGTGGAGGCGGAGGCAGCTTCAAGCCTGGTGTTTCAGTGGGTGTTAACAGCTTTCAACATTGTCTAAATTGCAAGATCTACTGCATAGAAATTGATTATGTGATCTGTAAGATAGGTGACCCTCGATAATTTTGCATGCTGGCATTGCTAGCTGGTTGTAAGGAATTAGAAATAATGAAGTCTCCTGCGAAAAAGAAATTAATTAATTATTGGTTCACTGTTTCTTTTAGTGTCTTTCATTAATCCAGACCTCTTCTTCCCTTGGTCTTTGCCTTCATGTCCTAGCTGGACTTAGGATGAAGTTAGCAGTCTAGTCTCAAATTCCGTGTTTTAGGTTTTTACGCACCTGACATACATGAATAGACTTCCCTGTCAAAGCTATATGTAAACTCAATTTTTGTGAACCTGAATGTGATGCATGCACAACTTTTTGGAATCTTGTGCAGCTCTTTTGGAAGTTTTAAGCTAAGAAAGGCTGTTTCTGTGTACCTTTCATAGGCACTGTTAAAGCAGTTGTGATGTGGAGGTGGCTTCTCAATTGCTGTTTTGATATGGCATATTTCTAGATTTCTGCTGTGTCTGGTGGATATCTATTTCAGGCAACCAGATCTTAGAATTCCTTTTTCTGATAACTATAACTTGAGAAATGTATTATTTATTGCTCCCAGTTAGATTTAAAAAAAAGTTAAAAATTAATTTTCCTAACTTCTCATTAGTGAACTGAAGCATTAGTAATGTAAGCTAATAAATTGTAGAAGTAATTATGCACTTTATTACAAAGTTCCAGTAGGCTTGTGTGCTCTGTTTCATTATTCCATGCCAGAATAAAGTTTTTGTTCAAGCCCGAGTAGGAAGTAATATTATCAGCTTTTAATTTGGTCATGGAATGTAGTCTACGTAGATGTGTGCAGGGAAAAGCTTGCTTAATTTGAGCTTGGAAAGTAACACTTATTTTGTTTGGCAGACAAGATCATAGATGAAGGACATCTAACCAAAGTGGAAGAAACAAAGCTTTTGAAAGGTTAGACTTCTGCATTATTTAACTGGTTTTGAAGCATGTCCTTTATGTCACTTCAGTGCATGTTCTGTCTTAAACTAGCAGTTTGAGTTTTGTTGAATACTCAGGAAAAATAATCAATGAAGGGGAGGTATATTGTTTACTGAACTCTGCTCCAAATACTATTGTAGGGTAAAAAGATTTAAAGGAAACAATTTTTGAAGATTGAGTGCATGAAATGCTAGTCTCAGTTTTGACTGAGTTCTTACCTGAATGTGCATTTAAAAAAATACAATTTTTGTAAATTGATTTAAATCTTTAGTGCCTGCATAAAATTCAAACAGGTTTTTGTTTTTATTATAGGACTAAATAGAAACAATGTTTGGTCTCATTTTAAGTTTTAAGTAAATGTGTGTTTTCGTTTGACTTTTTTCTAACTTATACCCTCATAACTTTAAAATAACTATTAACCTCCTAAACGTGCCTTTTCCAAGTAAAATATAAATGTGCATCTCTAACTCTTTTCTCTTCTGTATAAAACAAGTGAAATACAAGGATCTAATTAGAAAAGATTTACGTTGTCAAGGAACAGTCATCCTTATCTTGCAGTGCCAAGATCAGGAATGCTAGAAAGTGTGTAGATCAATATTTCCTGTGTGTCTAATAATGTCAGATTGTTTGGACTTGTAGGCTGACTCCACTTTTGTAGCTTTTTATTAATGTCTAGACATACTAACTCATTTCTTTACCCTCTGTCGTTCTGCAAAGTGTTATTGTATTGAATAAATGTTAGCTTGTTAAAAGTTCTGGTATTTTAGAGACTTTTCAATTTATCTTCTCTTACCTTAATGTATGAAATTGCACCTTTAATTTGTTTCTGTACATGAGTAAGCTATAGACAACATGCCATATTTGGCAAAAGAATGCATACAGTAACTGTAACCTAATGCTTGCATGCCAGTTATCTTGCAAAGCGGTGAGCTATTTTTAGTGTTTGTTAATATATTCTAACTTGTCAAGTAAGTATGATGTCAACACATTTTAATATACTTCATCATTTTGGCTATATTTATTCAGCTCAGTTTTATTATGAGAAATGGAGACAACTGCTGTGAAATAATATAGTAC